GTTTGAGTTTTACTATTTTTAATACCTTACTTCCTCTCTCTCTTAGATGAGACTTGAATAAGAATTTATATAGAGGGAGAATAGATTAAACTTGTGTAATTACTGAGCTCTTGCATATTTTTTAATACTGAAATCGATAATTTGCTATTCAAAGATATAATTCTTTAAATTGTCTCTTGGTTGTTATTGGTTATTGTAATAAATAAAATCTTTTTAGTTTCAAGTATTTTCTTTTAGGGATCGTCTATATATCAGTAACGCGAAATTAAATATATAGACAAAAGAAATATCTCAAAAACCATGTTTCTCTCATGGTCAACTATGTGTTGAATTTTTAATATTTTGTTTTTCAAAATTGATAAACATCTTATTCAAGGTATAGTAGGTAAAAAAATGTAACATAAATATTGTTATGTTTTTTAATGTTCTTAATTAATAGTCTTGAGATTCATTTCAAAAATTTACTGTTAAAGGTTGTGAGCACATTTTGTATGTATAACTTTATTTATCATTAGTTATTTTTTTTTCATAGTTTTTGATAAATATATCTATCATTCAATAGTTGTAAAATGTGTTTATGTGTTATAAAGTCATATTTGTTTATAGTTGTTTATATGTTTAAACTATAAAATCCAAAACAACAATTTATATCTCAGTTTGATTTTTTTTTAGTATTGATAATGCTTTTGTACTTATAAAGATATAAATATATGCTATTAGTTAATTTTATATTTTATCTATTTTATGCCTAATAAGTTATATGTATTTTAAGGGGATCTTTGTAAATGAGGGGGGGTCGTAATTAAAAACCTTTAAAAACGTGGAGAATATTGTAGTTTTGCGCATTAATATCGAGTTACTCAAGTTTTATTTATGTGTTTAACTAATTAGTTAGCTTAGTCTATATTTGCAACACTTTTGAGGAAAGAAAGAAAACATTCTTATATATGTAGATCATTGTTTTACATTTTATTATTTTATTTTATTCACCTGGTCACCATTAAAGCAAAAAGAGGGGAGGAACTTCTTTATTAAAGTCAAAATATTTAAGAAAATTAAATTTCGAGTTACAAAGGAATTTTTAGTAAATGGTGGCAAAATACCTTTACTAAAAATTAATGAAATAAAGAGGCCAAACAAATAATATAGAAATGGTCTGTGTTGAACCGACTTAACAAGACCCGGGTCGGGTCAGGTTGGTTTACAAATTTTTATGTCTACTTATCTGTTATAATTTTTATTTTAGGTTTGTCATATGATGCATTAATGCATTAAGTTTACATATTTTTTCAAATTTATTATACCCATGTTTGTCGTTAAACATTTTTAAGTTATTGTGTCATTAAGTTATTATGTCATTAAACATTTTTAAGTTAACAATTTTCTTTTTTAAAGAAAAATTAGTCAAGGGGATACCAAAAAATTGATAACTCTTGTATAATATAATTTAATTTTTTTAACTTTAATTTTTAAAAAATTAATAACTCCTGTATAATATAATTTATTAATTTTAATCTTAATGGTTCGTGTTAAAAATTTTTTACAAGGATTTCGTTGGTACTTTCGTCAATTTAAAGCATGATGAAGTGTTATTATTTTGTGTCAGTAACTAAAAATGTATTGTGTTAAACTTAGGAAGGTCGATGAAAATGGTTCTGCCTTACACTGTTATGAACTATGCCATTTGTTAATTACTCAAATAATGTTAAGTAGTAATTGTAAATGTTAAGTAGTAGTTGGTAAATTATTTTACCTCCTCATACTTTTTATGTTAATTTTACAGATGGATTAATTTTTTCAAGCTGACGGGGATTTTCTAAAAGGGTATTACTTAAGGTTTTGCAATATTAAATTGTGGAAAACAGCCACTATAAATTAATTATGTAACAGACCGACCATAACCCGTATTACAGGTTGCTTTTTGCTAGTTTACTATAAATAGTAAAATTCATACTTAAAAATTAAAATATTAAAAATAGTAAAACTCATACTTTAAAATTAAAATATTAAAAATAGTAAAATTCATACTTTAAAATTCATATTTTAAAGTGTCTAATGTAAAATCAAATAATAGACATCAACACCACTTGACACTGAATTCTGGCAAAAAAGTTTTCTATTCATCAAGCAAAATTTCTTATATTTCAACGACAATTAATTTTATCACGCCTAGATCTATTTCTTTCATATGACAACAATTTCAAGTCACCTATAACCATTTACACTAATAACTTCTTCGAGCTTATTATTATACATCTGTTATCATTAAATATATTACCAGTGATTATACTACTGTTACAACTGAATATTTTTACAACTGAAAAATATAGAACAAAATTTTTGACATTAGCAAAGAATTTAGACTACAATGCAAAGTTATTTTTACCTTCAGGCACAATCTTAATGCACAAAAATAATAAATGCAGAATCTTGTATAAAAAATGAAGCAATGTTAGTCTTAAGTAATATATATATATATATATATGTATGTATATATATTCAAATTCTTTCTATTCTTTTTAATTTTTTCTATGAGATAATATTTATATAGATTCAGAGAAATATAAAATATTCTTATATATAGGCACATTTATGTGTATAAACTTACCTGTCAAAAATTACATTCAGTTTTCCATGTTAAATACATAAAATATATATCTAATATAAAATAAAACAAAACATTAAAACTTACTCAAATCAGTAACAGTTCGACTGTCTAAAAATTTTTTTATTAACCCTTCTATTTAAAAAAAAGAAACAAACGATTTGAAGTGACTAAAAAGCACTTTAGCTCTTTCCAATTGCACTACAAAATAAAACAAATCTTGCTTTGCTAAGTTGCCTAGTTCTTAAGAAACAGGAACAGAAAACAAATAAGTAAAAAACCAAGAACAAACAAACATTTTTTTAATTAAAACTACTCTGTTTAAACAAATTAAATTTAACAGAGAACAACATTAATTCTCTTTAAAAGCTGAAAAACTTTTCAGCTCAAATTTGCTTGCAGACCTTGCTTATAAAATCACTTAATAAAATGATTTGTTCTTTTATAGCAAATAAAACCACTATAAATCTGAAATTAAAAATTGTAACAAATAAGTAAATACAAAGAAAAACATATATGAATTGAAAATCAATGTACCTGATAGAGATCAGCTGTTGTGATACCTGAGTAGTAGTTGCTAAATATTGTTTTTTCATGATAAACAAAATGTATTTATAGCAAAATGGTCTTGAATGAATTTTAGTAAATATATAAAAGCAGTGAGTTCTAGTAATGAAACTACCTATTAATCATTTTTAACAGCTGACACCAACGTTAAGAGAAGCCAAGTTAACAACATTACGCAAAAAATTATTAAAGATAAAGCAATGTGTTTTCAGAATAGTTATATTAAAGGCTAGGCAACACTTAGACCTAAAGCAGTAATATCACTTGACTGGTAAGGTTGATAAATCTTGCTCTACACATTTGCCAAGTAACTCCACTTTGAAATCATGGAAACAACATTATATAAACATATATACTAATTATAAAAACACAATATATTTTAAACATATATTTATAAACATATATACAATATATTTTAAACATATATACTAACTATAAAACACAATGCATTTTTTAAATGTTATATAATATATAAAAACACCTCATTTAACAATCATATACACATTAGATAAAATACATTTCATACTATTATAAAAACACATTTAAATAAACAACTATATAATATATATCACATCATTTAACAATCATATACACATTAGATAGAATACATTTTATACCATTATAAAAACACATTTATATAAACAACTATATAACATATATCACTAAATACACGTATTTATCAAAAACTTTTTTAACTTTGAGCGTAATATAAACATATATGCAAACTTTTAACAACAATAAAACAATATTTATTAGTATCAATTATTTTTAATGTAACAAAGAATGCAGATACAATGCACAACATTGTTAATAAAAATGAAGTTATATCAGTCAGTATATATTAATCTAAAGCAATGAAAAAGAAGAAACTATTTAAGAACAAAATTAAAAATTTCTAATAAATACATATTTAGATACTTTAAAATGAAGCGTAGAACAACACTCTTTTGACAAATTGCAGAAGAAATTTTCTCAACTTTCTATTCCTTATTATTTATCCTTAAAGAAAATATATATATATAGATATAGAGAAATATAAAATAGACTGAAATAAATCGAAAATCTTAATTTACGTATGAGAAAATAACTTGAACTTACTAAAAAAAGCGGGCGGACTTGTAATCGACGCACCCCTATGAATCATGACTAAAACTGTCCCATTTTTTAGGGTCAATTGATGAATATATATTTCGTTGTGTCAATCCTTAATGGTTAGTCAAAGCATTTACATTTACTTCTATTTATCAATTATAATTAATTGATGTAATTACTCTTTAATTAATTAATTCATTAATTTTACTAGGTCAGTAAAGTATCATTTTCAATAAAACGTGTTTTAAACTTAGGGGGGTGCGCCGTTTACAAGTCCGTCAAAAAGCGATCAGCTCCTCTTAACTGCTTTAAAAAATAAAACAAATACTGCCTAAAAGGTTTTAAAAAGACTAACGACTAAACTGAAACAGTTTTCTCAAAAAAGAAACATTGTACTAAAAAAACTATTTTACCTGTCAATTTAGTTCTAACTTATTCTAAAAAATGAAAAATAAATACATATTCAGATACCTTAAAATGAAGAATAACACAACACCCTTTTGACAAAATCCAGAAGAAATTTTTTCTATTTTTCTATTCTCAATTATATTTGCTAAAAGAAAATACATATAGATATACATATATATATAACAAACTAACAATTATTTAAATTTTTATTTTAAAAAATAAACAACATTAATTCTTCTTGAAAATAAGTGTATCAGCTCCAATTAGCTTGCTGATTTTACTCGAATGACCGCGTGGAATATATAACTGCGCTTAGAAAATTCTAGAAGCAAAGAAATAGTGTATTTTACATAATGCAGAACCGTAATTAACAAAACGAACAATAGGCGTAACAATGCGTAACTATGCGCACTAATAATGATAATATTTATTTGGCTATTCATTATAGGCGGATATATTTAAAGTGAATATAGAGAGAGGTAAAGGAGTTAATAATATACATTATATGTAATTAAATGTAATAATTTTTATATATTTGTAAATGTGACGTTATCACAGTTATATAACAATAAACTTACAATAGAAACCTTTGAATGCAAAGTTTGCTTGAAAATTGCACATGGTAATGAGTTTATGCTTCGTAAGGCCTGCGAAGCATGTCATAACATCGCACTTTTTAATCGATATATGAAATTAAAACAGGAGACCTATTTTCGTTTTTTAGATTCCGAAGTGGACATTAAGCGTTTTCTTTCTAAAAAAAATTCTAAAACTCAAAAGTTCAAAAAAAGGAAAAGTTATTTCTAAGGAGGAGCTTCTTTCTACCTCTGAAGAAAGCGAGAAGGAAAATTCTGATAAAGATCCAGAATTTGTTCCATCAACACCTCAAGCTGCCAAATTAAAAACAAAAAAAAGCAGACTTGAGGGGTTATGTTAATCACACAAATTTCTTTGCCAGTTGCTACAACCTTAACTAAAGTTATTGAAAAACCACACTCTCCTTTTTCTACCCCAGTTAAAGTTAATTCAACAACCATTTCTCATATTCCAAAAAAAAACATTTCAAAAAAAGTAAAGTTACTGTTACAATTCAAAAAAAAAAGTGTAGTTTGCGAAAAAAACTTGGATGACATTGTTGAAGATGACATTCCATATCTAAATTTAATTAGATTTAACAAGAGATCGCCTTATTTTTGAAGATAGCCATTGTGGAGATGTTAATTATTTTCCAGGAGTGGCAGTTAAATGCAATTTGAGTGATTCATTAGATCCTGACAAGTACTTGGCTTCTGTTCGATTTTTAGAATACCGAAAGTCTATGATTGAACGTGATTTAAAAAGCTTTTTTGGTGACATAGAGTAAGTTTTTTTGCTAACACTTATTTTATAGTGTGGCAATTTAGTAATAATATTTTTTTTATGTAAGGCCACTGCTTATAAAAGAATGTCCAGCCGTGTCGAATATAAAATTAAGTGCACGGAAATGAACTGCTCTTCGTTCTCAACAAAATATTCGAAACATTTAATTGAAAAACATCAATTTGGCCTGCAGCAAGCTAATTACTTGCAGTCTTTTCACATTTGTTTGTTCAAGTTTAAAACTCGGTTGGTTAAACATTCGAATAAACCTTATGCATGCAGTGAGTGCATGGTTTGGTTTGACCGCCTTGATAAATATTTGATTAATGAACACAAGTTTGAATCGGGAAGGTAAGGTTAATTTCAATTATTACACAATTTAAAATTGTTTATGTTGCGTTATTACAAGTACTGTTAGGGTTATTACAAATGTTGCATTATTACAAGTTTTATTAAATATTTTTTTCTGTTGCAGTGATTCGTTTAAGGAAGCAATGTCTTCTATGAAAATAAAGTCAAAAGAGTTTATAGTGAAACAAACCGCCGAGTTTTTTGGTTTGAATTTTATAATAGTTAATGTTATGTTAATAAAAAATCCTTATTATTTTTATTGAAATGGTAGTGCATAGGATTATAATAAATCTACATTATAATTTGTACACTTTTTAGGTGAAACAAAACAAACAAATTTTAGTGCTCTTGTGAGTTGTCCTTCGGGAACAAGGAGTACTTTTCATGTTAAAAAAAAAATGCAGTCAGGGGGTGCCTAATTCTCAGCGTTAGTTTAGTATTACTTTAGTTTTTTTAGTATAAGAGTTAAAAAGCTATTAGAACTAAAAGGGTATTTGAGCAATTTTGTAACTTTTAGAAACAAGTCATATTGAGGAAAATAGGCCTGGTTCAAGTGGTCTAGAACGATCTAAACCAATAACCAAAGACGGATTAAAAGCTGCTTTAGACAGTTTATGGTAAGAATAACATTACCATTAAATGCAGTCCTCATTATATTACTTATTTTTAAAGTATATGATCGAAATGCCTAAGTAATAATAGTTTCCTCTATTCAGACTACTCTAGTTCGCCTGAAAAAAATAGTAGTAGTGTGGTCCCAGTTTCGCCTCAATCAAGTCCTAATAAAGCCAATATCTATGGAATTTCTAAACGAGGTTGTTAATTTGTTTTTTGTTTTGACTTTATATTATGTAAGCACACATATATAATGAATGTGTGTTTATAATATATATATATATATATATATATATATATATATATATATATATATATATATATATATATATATATATATATATATATATATATATATATATATATATATAAGTTTTTGTTCTTCTTTGTAATTATGATATAATTTCATTACCTTTTTTTTTAGAATTACGTTATGACGCATTTATAAGATTTATAAAATAAAAAAACCTGATTTCTTTTTAATGTAAATTTTTCTTAGTTAAAAAGATATAAATATATGCTATTAGTTAATTTTATATTTGATCTATTTTATGCCTAATAATTTGTTGTACGTATTTTAAGGAGATCTGTGTAAATGGGGGGTCGTAACTAAAAACCTTTTAAAACATGGAGAATATTGTAGTTTTGCGCATTAATATCGAGTTACTCAAGTTTTATTTATGTGTTTAACTAATTAGTTAGCTTAGTCTGTATTTGCAACACTTTTGAGGAAAGAAAGAAAACATTCTTATATATGTAGATCATTGTTTTACATTTTATTATTTTATTTTATTCACCTGGTCACCATTAAAGCAAAAAGAGGGGAGGAACTTCTTTATTAGAGTCAAAATATTTAATAAAATTAAATTTCGAGTTACTAAGGAATTTTTAGTAAATGGTGGCAAAATACCTTTACTAAAAATCAATGAAATAAAGAGGCCAAACAAATAATATAGAAATGGTCTGTGTTGTGAACCGACTTAACAAGACCCGGGTCGGGTCAGGTTGGTTTACAAATTTTTATGTCTACTTATCTGTTATAATTTTTTTTTTAGGTTTGTCATATGATGCATTAATGCATTAAGTTTACATATTTTTTCAAATTTATTATACCCATGTTTGTCATTAAACATTTTTAAGTTATTGTGTCATTAAGTTATTATGTCATTAAACATTTTTAAGTTAACAATTTTCTTTTTTAAAGAAAAATTAATCAAGGGGATACCAAAAAATTGATAACTCTTGTATAATATAATTTAATCTTTTTAACTTTAATTTTTAAAAAATTAATAACTCCTGTATAATATAATTTATTAATTTTAATCTTAATGGTTCGTGTTATAAAAATTTTTACAAGGATTTTGTTGGTAATTTCGTCAATTTAAAGCATGACGAAGTGTTATTATTTTGTGTCAGTAACTAAAAACGTATTGTGTTAAACTTAGGAAGGTCGATGAAAATGGTTCTGCCTTACACTGTTATGAACTATGCCATTTGTTAATTACTCAAATAATGTTAAGTAGTAATTGTAAATGTTAAGTAGTAGTTTGCTAATTATTTTACCTCCTCATCCTTTTTATGTTAATTTTACGGATGGATTAATTTTTTCAAGCTGAAGGCGATTTTCTAAAAGGGTATTAGTTAAGGTTTTGCAACATTAAATTGTGGAAAACAGCCACTATAAATTAATTATGTAACAGACCGACCAAAACCCGTATTACGGGTTGCTTTTTGCTAGTCAAATTATAAATGGATTATTGTATTTATATTTGATCACTGAAATAAATAATAATAATAAATATATAATAATACATATTTGTAATGCTCTCATTTAAATTTTTGAATATTGTTTTGAGTGTAATAGTATCTTTTAAAACCACCAAAATCAGGTGCGGTTTCATTTATAATGAAAATTTTTTTTTTTTAAAAAAAAGTGTGAAATTTTTATTTTTTATATGCGTAGTATTTATATGCGTAGCTATAGAAAACAGTAACTTTTAAAATTTTATAAGCTTACGAGATTAGTTTATATATTTAAACTATTTAACCGTAAAGCTTTACGAAAAAAATATAAAGTTAAGATCAGCCAAAAAATATAAAGTAAAGATCAGCCTTTATAATACATTTATAATATGACTTTAAATTAACGAGGTAAATTATTGACATTTAATACTTTTATTTTGTACAAAAAGTGTCACATAATTTAGGGAACCTAAATTAAATACTTGAACTAGTAAGTGTAATATGTATACAGCCTATTTAAACTATATACATTGCCCTTAACTTCCCATTTTGGGTTTCTTTAACATTTTAAAATAATGACTTGTAACTTAGGTTAATTGCTTGAAATCAACTTATTTCTCGTAAACAAAAATACATGTTATTTTGTTTTGTTATTTAATTCAATACAAATTTTACTGTTCACCTTACAAATTTTTTGTTTTTTTGTTCAGTAATAATATATAAATTGTTGACATTTACAGATTTATGCGATAAAATAAACTAGCTCCTAATGATTTACCATTCTTTTCATCGAAATTAACTGTTCTAGTTTCTGCAGATATTAAACTAGAGGATTCTGAGTAAAAAACTTTATAAAATTATAATGTTAAAAGTCGATATCTGCAAAACAATGATAATATTGGTTTTGAGAGAAGTAATGAAAATTGGCGAGCTCAAGATTTTCAAAACAACTATGGTACATTAAATACTACATCATTAGTTAATGAAGTTAGGTAACCATGTTTCTCTTTTGAAAAAGCCTGTAACACAACAAAAATAATAAGCTTAACAATGTTATTAATATTTTAATTAGCAAAAATTACTTCATGCAACGAAATTGAAACTAAGAAATGAGTTTATGTACAAAACTGGCACAAAAATTTCTGAAATTTAAAATAAAAACCCCATTAAACCTGTTTATATACATATATTCACCTGATGAAGCTTTAGCATTAATTATTAATGGTAATATATCGAAATCAACGTAGCAGCTTATAAGAGATGGCGCTGGAAAAAACGGCTGCCACACACAGAGGCAATTTTACGGGGGTGTATGGTTTTTTTTTTACGAATTTAGTCGGCAGTTGGCTATATGACACCATTCAGTCGCTTAAATTTTCGTTTTGAGGACCTTTTTAATTATTTTTAAAAAGCTATGTAGTACAAACTACTGTGCTAATCATTGTGCTAAGGAATTGACTAAACAGACATTTAGATGCAAGGCTAGTTTTGATGGTGCTGTAGGGTATAGTGTTTACAAACAGGTCAGTTAAAATAAATATAGTGACGAATAAGGAGTGCCTATTGATTATTTGCATAGTACTTTTAGAACTTAGTAGAGTTTATAATAATAAAAACGTTGTGATATTTAAAAAAATACATTATTATATATAGAGATTATAAATAATCTACAGACTTATTCAAAACGTTTCAAATCTATATATTTATGTATATTTTCTATATATTTCTATAAATTTATCTATATATTTCAAATCTATTATTTAATGATATCGGTAAAAAAGTTTCAAATCTAGTGATAAATTTTCATTTTTTCTTAAGTAAGTTTACAAATTTTTATTTTTAAAGTTTGTTGCATCAATTTTTATTAAGTTTATTCCACCAGAAGAGTTTGTTATTCATTTCCACGATAATAAGAAGTCATAGGATTTGAAATTAAAAAATTATAAATCTGCGTTTTTAAAAGTTTTATAAAGTTTGTTAAATAATTTTTAGTATGAGCAACTATTTAACTAAAATTTATAATAAAAGTAAATATATCTTAATGCAAAGTGATTCTTTGGACATTTAAAGGGTTTTAATAAAATAAAAAAGATCAAAATAATTTTGTCTACCATATGTCTAATATACGGCCCACTGTGCGATGTTGCGAAACTTGCCCAGAGGTGGGGTTTGAATCACGGATCTTTTATTTCTAAGGCAAGTTCGCTTTCCGTGCGCCACGGATGTAGAAACTTACCTTCAATCTTGCAAATGAAATTGAGAAATTTGCTACTATTCATTATGCAAAACTACGCGCATTAAGACCACTATCGTATTAACGGACGTATAAAGTGGAGTTAAAGTGCATATAGCATTTTTGCAATATAGATGAAGTTGATACTAAAAAAGGCCTCTAATTTCCTGATTTCCTGATGTGTGATAAATACCCAAGTCCTTTTTTGCCAAATAAACCTATTTAAAAAATGGTTCCAAATTACCGACTTATTTATTAAATGTATGTCACCGTCCTACCATCCTCCCACACATACTCTTCGCGCCGGCCTTGACTACTTTAGCCATTAATATTCATTCTGAAGAAATTAAAAGGATTAGGAGATTTTAAGAATTGTTTTGTCCTATTTTTAAGAGATTTAATTTTTTGTTAATATAAATATTCATTTAGATACAGTTTTTAGAATTAATGTACTAAAAATAATAATTTTGAAGTAATTTTCAGAATTTCCAATTTAAAAAATTGTTTCGATACCGTTTTTATGATTTCGTTAATATAAAATATTTCGATGCGAATTATAGAGTCGAAAGTTGCTTTAGAGCTATTTTTAAAATTTCGATAATATAAAAATATTTTGATACAAATTATAAAAATTCGAAAGTGATAAAATGTTTCGGTGCCATTATTAGAATTTCGATAATATAAAAATATTTTGATACAAATTATAGAGATTCGAAAGTGAAATATTGCTTCGGTAAATTTTCAATATAGTAATATATTTCAGTACAATTTTCAGAACTTCGAAAGCGAAAAATAGTTTCGAAGGTTTTCGACGATTAAAAAATGTATCGATAGAATAAAAAATGTATTGATAGAATATCGTAAATTTCGAAAAGTGAAATTTAAAATTAAGTAATTAAAAATTGTTTCAAACTTACCAAAACAAAAATTTAATTTCGAGAAGATAAATTTTAATCGAAAATTTAACTTTTGCAAAAATGAACAACCCTTATTAAAAGTTTCATTTTTTAAAAGTAACTTTTGGTTTTTTGACGCTGAGTCAGCATAACTTGCCTTTAATCATCAGCTAAAACAGAAACATCTTTGAATAAAGTTTGCACTAACTACACCATATTTTACTATATTAAAGTAAAGTATTAAAGTAAAGTATTATGCTATATTAAAGTAAAAAAGAGACTCCAGAACTGCAACTAAAAAATACTTTTTAAATGATAGGTAAATTTATAATGGCAGCAATAAACGTAGAGAAATTTATTTGGTGCGTGTGTCAATCGTGTTCTCGACATGTTGTACCGTAAATTCAACCAAATGACTCCACAACTTCCTAAAATTCTATACACAACCTTTGTATGTCTTCTTATAGAATTTGCGCTAGCAGTGAGCAATCCATTGTCAAGAATGGATATTAATAAAATTGAGAAAGTACGAAAAAGAGCTTCCCGTTTAATACCTTTATACCGTTATACTTCATACTTGCTATATTTCCATGTAGTTTT